TATAAGCTTGGGTAAGTCCTTTGTCATTCTGGGTAACCGATTTTTCCCCCCACCCTTGTTTTCAGGGCTGCCGACTGCCAGGGCTGGCAAGGGCGTAGATGTTCAGGCTATTAAATTTCCCTAAGCCCTTTTCGGGAGGCATTTTGAAAAGTCACCAGCCAGAGTCATGGTCCTTAATAAGTACATTGGTGCTTTCCAGGCACCAGCTTGTGCAGGTCACTGTATGAATGGGACCAAGAATGTCCTGCTCATACATGCAGACCCTGAGAGTTACCAGTTGGAATCACACTTAAGGATTTTAGGGACAAATACCTCTGTGTTTATTGGCTCTTGGGGTCCCTACCCTGAATCAGTAAATTTGTATTAAAGACTATGTCCTTCCTGATAGAAATTCTTGGGATTCTAAGTAAAAGGGAAGAATTTAAATTAAATGAAATTGGAGACTTGAAGGCCAGGGATTGGTTTTGCATTTTTATTAAGCATTTATTCTGAGTTTGGGTAACTTGTTTGACCAGTCTTTTCCCAGGTCTTCTGAATGCTCCTAAATAGACTCTACTCCATAGATTCCATGGATTTGGCTGTTGTCAGATAGCAGCACTAGGAGTTGTTAGGAGTTGTCATCCTTGAATTTAAGGCTCCTAATGGGTTTAGGTGCTAGACCATGAACCAGAACTAGAGGAGCTATTAGACCATGCCTTTGGTTCTTTGATACAGATGGTATATGGAGAATCATTAGCATAACCCAAGTGACTTCTCAGGATCATTGCTATCCATCCTTCACTGTAATGAGCACTAATGACCTAATGCTGAACTGGTATTGATTAGAATCTAATGATTTATGACGTTGACCATCATGGATGTCCAATTGAAAGATACCTTGATTGGCCTTGACTCTCAAATGCCACATATTTCTTTATACCAGTGATGAGTATTTAAAATCCAAGGTCATAGTGCATACCTGCCATCATTTCTGTATAAAGGACTGCCTTTGGCCAAGGTCCTGTCCTTCCTGTCTTAAGTTTGTAGGGCTGAATTTACAAATGAAGGAAAGCTGTCTCAGAACAGGCAGTACAACCTTGATAAATTGTGTTGTTCACTGTACTCCTTAGTTATAGTCGGCCTGTTGGGAAGGTTTCTGTGTGGCAGGCAGTGTCCTAAGCTCTGGGTTTGTCATATACGCTGATATCATAGTCCAACTAATTGCATTTTCCTGGTGAACTAGACTGGAGGGGAGCGGCAAACTTTCAGGAGTCATCCTATTTATTGGGTGCCTTTGATATGCTTTTCATGGCATCTGCTTTGGGAGTAGTTTTCGGAGATTCTTATTCCAGTGTCCCTAAATTATGCAGATTTGAGAAAACCAGGTAAGAGTCTCTTCAGAGATGGCATTTCCCTAGATGGGCTATAAACATTAACATTAGTCACTTTTAGTAAATCCTAAAGAAGGTATAGATTAGGCTGCACACAGACTATCCAGGCTGTCTCTTTGTGATTAGATTTTTCATCAGTTTGCTGCCATTAGCTTACTTTCCGATTTTTCACCTGTTTTTCAATCTAAACACACACACACACACACAAAACACTTGAGAGAAAAATAAGCCCAGCTTGTGATCATGGTGAGCTATATTTAGTTCCATGTGTTCTGTTTTGAAGACTTGGGATCCTTTGATTCTGTTACCTTTTGCAGACAGTTTTAATGTATTTTTGGTGGATGTGATAGTTATCATTTAATTAAAATCTGGAATGATTTTTTTTTAAAGATTTATTTATTTATTGGAAAGTCAGATATACAGAGAGGAGGAGAAACAGAAGATCTTTCGTCCGATGTTTCACTCCCCAAGTGACCACAACGGCCAGTGCTATGCCGATCCAAAGCTAGGATCCAGGAACTTGTTCCGGGTATCCCACACAGGTGCAGGGTCCCAAGGCTTTGGGCTGTCCTTGACTGCCTTCCCAGGCCACAAGCAGGGAGCTGGATGGGAAGTGGAGCTGCTGAGATTAGAACCGGTGCCCATATGGAATCCCGGCACGTTCAAGGTGAGGACTTTAGCTGCTAGGCCACACTGCTGGGCCCTAGAGTAATGTTTTTAAAATTCAGTTTTGTGGGGCGAGTGTTGTGGTGCAATGGGTTAGGTCACTGTGTGAGAAGCCTACATCTCATATCAAAATGAGTGCTCTTTCAAGTTCTGACTTTTCTGCTTCTGATCAACTTCCTGCTGGTGTGTCTGGAGAGGCAGAAGATGTTGCGTCAGGTGCTTAGGCCCTGCCAGCCATGTGGGAGACCAGCACAGAGCTCCTGGCTTCTAGTTTTGGCTTGATCTAGCTTTGGCCATCACAGCCATTTGGGAGTAGAACAGTGGCTGCAATACCTTCCCTCTCTTTTTCTTTGTCACTGACTTTCAAATAAGAATAAATCTGAAAGAGTTATTTGTTTTAAAGGTGGAGTGACAGAGAGAGAAGGAGAACCACAGAGAGAAGTCTTCATCTGCTGATTCACTCCTCGAATGGCTTAAATAGCGGGAGCTGAGTCAACCCAAAGCCAGGAACCAGGAGCTTCTTCTAGATTTGCTGCTTGAGTGCTGGGTTCCAAGCACTCTGGCCATCTTGTACTGTTTTCCCAGACCATAATCAGGGAGCTGGATCAGAAGTGTAACAATGGCAACACAAACTGGTGCCCATATGGGATGTTAATGCCGCAGATGGAGGCTTAGCCTAATATGTCATGGCACTGGTTCCACAATCAGATCTTTTTTGAGAAGTTCATTTGGGGGGGGGAGGGGTAGTGGCATTTTTCATAGTGGGTTAAGCCACCCCCTGTGACACTGACATCCCATATAGGCACCTGCTTGATCCCTGGCTTCTCAACTTCTGATCCAGCTCTTTGCTAATGCACCTAGGAAAGCAGCAAACAGTGCCTGGAGCTCCGCACCCATGTGGGAGATGCTTATAAAACTCCTGATTTCTGGCTTTAACTTTGCCCAGCTCCCTCTGAGTAGTGAACCAACAGGTGGAAGATGTCTCTCCATCTCTTCCTCTCTCTCTCTGTAATTCTGTCTTAAAAATGTTTTTAAAGTTTTTAAGTTGTTTTGGGCTTTAGCACAATCTTTGTAGATACCTTCTCTCCATGAGAGCTAAGTAAAGGAGGAAGTAGATCCAGCACCCTTGCCCCGATTGCTTGACATGCGGTCTGTGTCCCCACTGTGGCCCACCCAGCATAGCGGGTGTACAGTAAACACTCCCAGCCACTGTGAGCTGGAGAATCAAAACAAAAACAAAAAAAATTCAGTTTTACAAGCAGTTATTGAGATCTAAGGATACAAATGTGGAAAAGATGCCTTATGTTTACCAGGCCCTCACCTTATAGTTGAGGGAGATAAGAAAAGATACAGAATAGATGATGGCTAACAAAATAGAAACAGGTTACAGGTTGCTGAGGGAATAGAGATTAGAGGCCTGAGTAATCCTTTTCTGCCTTTAGGTGAGGGCTTGTTTACACAGGGCCTTGGGACTGGAGAGGGAGCTTATAAAGTCTTCAAAAGGAGATGACTTCTTAGTTCTTTGTTATGAAGCCCAGGGTTTGTATCTGTAAGACAGAAACAACAGAAAGAAAACTATTATGTACTTATTCATAAATGATGAGTATATATTTATAGGTTGTTCTAGAGAGCATCTACTTGTGCTAGGCACTATGTCAAACATTTTGTTACTATCCTGTAGTATAATTGCAGTTCTCCTCCTCTGAAGTAGGTAGCACCAGCTCCATTTCATAGTTGGGAAAACTGACTCAGAGAGGCGGAGACACACAACTAAAATAACATAGCTACGGGTCTCTGAAGCTGAGTGCAAACATATCTTTCACCAAAAGCCAGTGCTCTAGCAAGTAAACTTAGTGCCTGCCTTTAAAAAAAGCATTTATTTGTTTCTGAAAGGCAGCGCTCTAGAGAGAAGGAGAGAGAGAGAGAAATTTTCCATCCACTGGTTTACTACCTAAATGTCTGTAACGGCTGGAGTTGGGCTCACCTGAAACCAGGACCCAGGTGCTTGCTCTGGGTTTCCCATACAGGTGCAGAGTCCCAAGGACTGGAGCCATCCTTTGCTGCTTTTCCAAGCCACAAGCAGGGAGCTAGATTGGAAGCGGAACATCTGGGAAATGAATAGGCACCCCTATGGATATTGCTGCTGTGGGTAGAGGATTAACTGACTATGCCAGCGTAGGTGCCCCGTTTACTACCTTTCTTGTGCTGCTGCATTCTCATTCAAACTCTTCATAGATGATTCCAGGATGCATTTTTCCAAGAATTCATCCATATTTAGGATAAATCTTGTTCACCTTCACAAGCTGAATCATAAATCCTTATTAGCTGCAATTTCCTGTGAAGTCAGCAGAATCACTTCTATCAATTGTTTAAATAGCTAAGGTCTTTAGTCATCTCAAGCAGTTATGTCACTTTAGACTTACCACATGGAGCCTCACTTGCTCATTTTCCCCGTTCGTTTGCCATCATTTTGGGAGTAGAACTCCGACCAACAAAAGCAGGACGTCTAGCTAAAGATGGGGCAAGATGTTTTCCTTCCTGGCTTTTGTCCCCAGGAGCTACCCTGTAGCTGGACTGATCTGCTCTGAACAATTCAGTCTTTTGTGGTCAAAACGCAGGGGTCTTTTGCCTTTTGAAGGACTGACAGCACAATGACAGGTCACTCGCTTTCCCAGTCTCCAGACATTTCTACCATGCCCCATCACTCCAGGAGTGTTGTCCATGCAGTTGTCTCTGGTTTAAATGATGACGACCTTGCCCCAGCTGTCCCTGGAGGCTGACGGCTTGATGAGTCAGTCCTGAGGCTTGCTAGATGCATCTCAGTATTTCACATGCCTGTGTTGATTGGACAGATCCCAGAATGGGCCTTAGGACTTGCTTAGCCTTGAGTGTGCTGAACATCATTATGGAAAGTGTGTCTCTCCAAGGATTATTTATGTCTCTGACTTGTGTTTTCTTTCTCAGCAAATGAAAAGATTGAAGACATCAATGGCTGTCCGAAGAACAGATCACAAATGGTAAGTGGTACCTGAATAGTGTTTGTGTTTTGTTAGTGAGCCCTGCTTGTGAGTAATATTGACCATCTCAAAATGTTCTCACCAAATGCTTTCCTTGTGGGGATGATGATATTAATAAGTTAGCAGTTTTTTCCAAGTAGCTTTGCTTAGCTTCTCTGACATTTATTGGCATTTATTGATAAATGGGTGATTTTCATGTCGATTGTGAGATGGCAGAAATGAAACACCATTCTTGGTGTTAGGTGCCAATTGTGCAGCCCTGGAGGCACACATACATATATGTACAACTTGCACTGTGGGCAGATAATATGCTGGACTCTGACTTTTCAGGATCTGAAGGTGAGAATGATGTAAAGTCAGAACTGTTAAGAGGTAATGTGAAGTGTACATTCCCATCTGAACTATTCTGCACAGGGCCATGAAGTGGCAAAGCATTTGAGAACTGATAGCATAGCCTTATCAAACTCCAAAAGCTTTATCCTCCAAAATATCTTCTGTTCTTGCTGCTTGTTGTGCAAAATCATTTCACATTCATTTAATCCCAAATCTCTGAATGCTTCATTTTTTACTGCAAAATGCTTCTCATACATGAATATTTCCATGAAGAATGTTTGATCTGATTCTCTTAAAATGATGAAAAAATGTTTTAAAATATGAAGCTGTAACTTACAGACAGCTTTATTTCTTTTCTGGGCATTCATTTAGTTCCAGGAATCTAAAAAAGGATGCAATTTGTGTAACCTCACCCCACCCTATGCCGCTCAGCATAATCTGATTGGTCCTGTTTTGGAATGCACTAAAATGATTGGCATTCTTTGGGTTACTCTTTAATGTTCTGAATTGTTATGCCCCAAGTTGGATAGAAGGATGGGCTTTTCAGTCAGTGTTTTTCATGGGTAAAAACGGTTTTCTCTCAAAGATACTGGGGTCTGTCTTGGAAGTGGAAGTTCACCACTCACAGTTTCTATTCTAAAACCAGTTTCTCTTCTATTGCCTCTCTAGAGTTTTTCTCTTTCTTTTTGTTCCACCCAGTGACTGCCCTGTTCTTGCATAGGAAAGTCCCAGGCAGACAACTCATAGCTGCTTTTACTTTTGGAAAAGTGTGGCTGCTATTTTTGCTAGAGCTACTGCAGCTGTCTGGTGTATTAATAATTGAGAAAATGTGGACGATTGAAGATTAATTTTAGTGCAAGCATTTCATGCATGCAGACATACCTTCACATGAAAGTGATCCACATCATCTCTCCAGGATGGATTTTGATGCATTTATGCTAGCCCAATAGAATGAGTAGTTAGCACTGGTATCTAAGGGTTGTTAATGTTATTTGACTCATTTGTATTTTTTGCACCTTCGATTGGAGGTGTTGCTGTTTGTTAAAATTCACTCAAGCTCATGAAGCAATATTGCCTCAGATGCTTCTGTGCAATTTAATTCTGCATTCAGATATAAAATTTATCAACACTGTTATTGCAATTTTTTTGGATTCTTCATAACTCTTTCAGCTTTGCTAAGTATTTTTTATTTGATGGATTGTGTCTGTTTAGACCACAGAATAGATAATCTTAGATAGTCTTTGATAATGAGTTCCAGTTGAGGGGTGGAGAGGCAGACATAGTCTTGTGAGTCTAACAAAGAAGAGTTCAGCAGACGGGATGTGAGTTCAGGAAAATATATGCATTGCTACCATAGTCATCTGACTCCTTAGGAAATGAGAGAGATGATGATGATGACAACAGAGTCTTTGTCCTTTCCATTATGGTGACATGTCCACAGAATTTGTTAGGTCACATGGGAAGTTCTTACACAAACAGACCTGGGTCTGTTCTGGCTACTAGGACACCTGTGTGTACACACACACCTGCCTATATGGAGGTAAAACACTACTGCTCATGGGAACTGTAATGTGAAACTGGCGTAGCGTGTGAACAACGATTTCTAGGTGATTCATCTCCTGCTGCAGTTTTATTTCAGATTGCTAATGATAAATATTTATTGTTGTTCCCTGAATGCTGCCTGCTTGAAGAAGACTGAAAGAGGGAAGTGTATGTAGAGAACCATTTTGGCAGAAGGACAACAGCCCACAGTGAGATGAGAACTTGGGAAATACACCATACTGGAGAGTAACTCATTCTCCTGAAAATAGCCAGTCTGGTCTCATTGTCATCACTGCCCAGAACATCTTTAGGAGTGTTTAACAACAGAGCCAAAGAAAAGCAGTATTATTTCAGAGCAGGGATGGAAGAACTGATAGTTCGGAATCTAAGAGGCTGATTTGTGTCATAAGCAAAAAGTCCCTGGGTGTTGTTGAAGGAGCAGGCACTGAAGAGAGTACATCTCATCCTTTGCCCTTTGGTTCTGAAACATCAGGCTGTCTGGAACTCTGCCCTGGGCTCTAATGCCTGCATGCATGCTCTGCTCCAAGTCCTGTTCTCTACCCAGAGAATAGCATAGTGATGGCAAACACTTGAGAAATGCAGTTTAGAGAATTCCAAGGGTGGTGTGAACCTGTCTGTGTTCGAGCTCTTGGGTTAGGCAACCTGAGTCAACAGGTGAACCAGATGTGAGCCCTGCCCTCAGGGAGAACAGTGCTGTCACTGACATCTGGGTGCTGGCCAGGCATCATAGGGACCCATTTCTACTCCAGGCATGGGAAGGTTCCAGGATAATGTCCAGGGGCTGAGTCTTGGAAGGCAAGAAGGATCACCTCAGGGAAGGAGGCCTAGACAATTGGAAGCAGAGACAGCAGGCCTAAGACCGTTTACTTGAAGATACAGGGATGCTGCAAGGCAGTCATACCAAAGTGCCCTGAGCTGGGATTGGCGAGGCTCTCCCAGCCTCTCAACTCGACCTTGTTGTGCCAAGGTGAGTGTGGTAGGCATAGAAGAGCCCCTGGTAGAACAAATACATAGGTATTTTCAGATGTGGAACAATTTCTGCATTCTTCCCTGTTCCCCAGATTGTTGCATCTGGGGGAGTAACCCTCAGTGGGGCCCAGAGCCAAGTTTTCTACATGGCAAACTCCAAGGCCTTTAGCTTCTGAGAATGCGAGTTCAACCACGGGGCCTGTGGAATGAACATGTGACCTGGTCAGAGATGTATGTGTTTGTTCTATTACCAGTAACAAGCACCTGCACCAGACTTTAACGTTTTCAGGCTCCACATTCCGTCTCCCTGACCCTGTTGCTTGCTGCATTATGCTCCCCTCCTGAGAAAGAAGGGTGCTAGGCGATGGAGAGCTAACCCTGGCACTCCAGCTTGATGCAAGCAGCTCTCAGCTCTGGAAATGAGGCTTTCAGTGATGGTCAGAAGAGGTCTGAGATTCAGGGCAGCAGTTTTCCCAGTAAACCTGGCATTGGTTTGTTTTTAACAACTGCTTTACCTCATTGCTGTCTAACCTAGATGCTTTGGGGGCCAAATCCTTGGAGCTTTAGAAACATGCCTCACCCATCATTCCTCCCACCCCACCAGACACACACACACACCCCACCTTCGTGCACTTGGCCCCTAAATAAGTTCATGTGTGCGTCAGAGCTGGTTCAAATGTTTTGTCTGTTCTATGTTGTCATGGCAACACAGTGGCATCTTTCTGGCTTTCAAGTGGTGTGTTCAGCAGAGTTCTGTGTGTGTTTGGAAGGGAAAACACTACTTGGAGCTCAGCCAGCCAGCGCTGGGGGAGTTGCTGCCCGGCTCCTTGAACTCCCTGTGCTCCAAGAAGGAGGCACGGCTCACTAGGAGCCTGGGAATAGCCAGCAGCAGGGGGCGGTTTTCTTTTTTAATCATTGTTATTTTAAGAGCTTTGGCTTTCTGTTGTTGATTCGGGAGGTGCAAAGTTGTGGAGGCCTGCTTGACCTCTTTCAGCAAAAAAAGCCCCAGGCCTGTTTTCCCTCACGCCTCCTCCTGGGCTGTTAGGGAACTTCCTTTAGTGCCTCTTGTTGGGATCCAGGACCTGCCTTGGCCAGGTCTGAGTCTACTCCACTATTCTGCAGATCTGAGCTCATCATTTAGCACTCAAAACCCTTGCTTTTCCTGTTCTATATGATATGATATATGATTATACATACCTCATAAAGGCTACTTGAGGACCAATGAGATGAAGATTTATTAATTTAAAAGGCAGAGCATGGCTGGCACTGTGGCATGGCATATTAAACTAGTGCCTATGATGTTGGCATCCCACATGAGTGCTGTTCAAGACTCAGCTGCTTCACTTGCAATGCAGCTCTCTGCTAATGCTCCTGGGAAAACAGTGGAAGATGGTTCATGTACTTGGGCCTTTAGTACTCATCCAAGAGACCTGAACGAAGCTTCTGGCTCCTGGATTCAGCCTAGCACAGCCCTGGAAGTTACAGCCATTTGGGGAGTGAACTGGCAAATGAGATTGTTCTCCCCTCACTTACCCCATGACTTTGACTTTGAAATGAATAAAAATAAAAGAGTGAGAGCCAGAGCGAGAGAGAGCGAGAGAGAGAGAGAGAGAGAGAGAGAGAGAGAGAGAGAGAGAGAGAGTTTACATTCCTAATGCTCACAGCAGCTAGGTCTGGGTCAGGCCAAAGCCAGGTGTTAGGAACTCCATTGTGGTCTTCCATATGGATGTCTGGGTTGTCTTCTGCTGTCTTCCCAGACACAGGGTTAATGTGGTAATGAAAATACTGTTGGGTAATGATAATTAAGGTGATTAAATAAAACTAGAGCTATGAAGTGTTTGCCCTGTGCCAGGTGGTGATCTAAGTGCTTTATGAGTAGCCTCGTGGGCCATCTTGCCAGCAGCCCTCATAGGCAGGTGCTCTTGTTGTTCCCATTCTGGTATATGACTGGCGCTCTATATAACAGTTTCTGTAATGTTGTTGATTGCCTGACTCTGCTTCATGTTTGGGTGATACGGAATCCTTTGGAAAGTTGAAAAAAGATGCTAGCTTTCTCCTCCCCAAATTGGACAAGCCTCAGAATTTTGCATGCATTCTGAACAGATTATGGACCCCAGAATCTGGCCTCTGAGTTT